TGAGCAGAATGGATTACAAAGTGCTATATGAAGACTCAGGGTCTCAGGAGGATAAAACCAGGCACTGAGGGCCGACTATGAAACTTAACACAATGACATAGTGACTTAGCAGTCAGGATGTCAAACTTGTCTTATATCTTGAGCCACATAAATGATATATTTTTGTTAATTCATAGAAAATGTTCTTTTTCTTCTGTGGACTCACAAAAAAAACCCAAAACAGACAGAAAATTTGTGAATTTTCTGTCATTTAATTTTTTTTATGTATTACTTAATTACTTTGGTTTAGTATGAATGGCAAATGAAGAGCATGTTAGATTTACTTGATTCAATAGTGGACATTGATTGCACACAGATGTTTTGCTTTGGCAGAAACTTAACTATGTTAAATCAACACAACTTATTCATATTAAATAAACTGGTGCATTTTGTGTTGATAAAACATGATTGAAACATGTTTAGATGAAGTAAGTTGAGCCCTTGGAATATTTTAATCCTTCACAATTTTGTCATTTTATTCCAACACTATTCAATAACCTTTAGCTCAATACTACTTGGTGACTTAAATACTACATGTTGTCTTTATATTAACATATTGTTCAACAAAGGAATGGATTTACAACAACTTCCTCCCTTTATCTGGGTTGCAGGGGCATAACCCCAAAGTGATAGGTTAAGAGGCAGGGTACACCCCAGACAGCTCACCAGTGTATCACATAGAGACAAACAACCATTTCCACCAATTAACCTTACTCTAATAGCTGCATGGCTTTTCACTGTGGGAGAGAACACAGTGCAAACTAACCAGCTTGTGGCTTTGAACCCAGGAGCTTCTTGCTGTGGGGCAACAGCACTAACGACCACGCCACCAATCCAGGGTTAACATGGCTTATCAAGGCTTGATGCACAATTTTTACGTTTTTGTCCTTGACAGGTTCAACCACAAAAAATGGCGACAGCATACGCGTGGTGTGTGTACTTGTCTGCCTCTTATAACTCCAGTGATTTCCCTGCAGTTTGAAATCTCGTTTGATCTTGTGAATTTCAACTAACCACTCTTACTAGATTGTATCATGTCATCTCAATGAGATCAAATTAAGTTGTTGAATTTCATACATATACTACATGATTTAATTACGTTCACCATAGAAACATGAAATTATTTTGTTCCAATTACAAGTTAGACTTTTGTAAATGTAACAACCACCCATTTTCCTTTTTTTCGGTATTCTGAAAAAAAGTAGAGGCGGCTGCTCAACTTGAATGAGATGGATGCCTTCCTCAAACCATGATCCAAAGTGCGCGAGCCAAAATCACAAGCAGTGTCGCAGGATTTAACATTGCTATATTATTGACTTACTTCACTGAACATGACATGAACAGTTTAATATACCCTCTCTGCATATCATGTAGTTTCTACACTATATAGTTACACTTAACTTTAAAGCATGAGGCAATTGTGTTAAATACACACAAGATGCTTACATAAATCCAAGAGATGGGCAATCCCTTTTTTTCAGTGTGCAGGGCCTGGGAGTGCTCTATCAATAGGAAAGGCTGTAAATCTTATGAAAATATAGTATAAATAAAATTGAAATTTGAAATCTATTAACTTTGTCGCGTTTTCCAAAGCTGTCCAGTAGGCTGGACTGCCTATGTTTAACACCACTGCCTTATATCATCCACATCAACTGCCTGACCTTCTGTATTACTGCAAATAGAAGTATTAGTTACCCAAAAAAAAAGTGCTGTATGAAAAAAGACTCGAAATTAGGTATTCATCAGGAAAGTATTTACTGCGGTCACAGATCCAGTGAGTAGTACTGTAATCATCTCATAGACATCAGTATGAGTCGCCCCCGCTGGTCATTGGAAGATTGCAGCTTTACCCCCCCCCTTTACACACACACACACTTGCCTATACGTAAAGATCTGCTACCCCAATATTTAATCAAAAGTGTTTCAGAGTTGCTCACTAGCAGTTACTCTTCAGCTTTGTGCCACAATCAACAGCTGTAATGGTCAACAGTAGGAAGAGTGAACTCAAACTGTAATAAAATAAAAATATATTTTAGTTGTTGAGTATGAATGTTGTTTCTTGACCCTGGAAATTTGATTTATTTTACATTTTTTTCAGCTATTTGCCATTTCTTTAATTACCATTTCATAAGTTACTAAGGACATCTGTGTTGCAAACTGCTGTTTCCTAACTTTGCATGCTACCGATTCCATCACCGGCACTGTATGTGCATTCAAACTAGTCAAAGCCTAATTTCCTGTAGAGAAGAGAATCTTTTTCAGAATCTTTTTCAGAGAAGCAGCTCCGGTCCCAGACAGACTTTACCAAGCAACAGCCACACAACACGGCCAAAAATAAAAGCACACAGTGTGTGAGGCTCGATATTCGCTCTGTGGACGAGCTGTTTCTGCGGGATGATTTTCATACCGTACGCAAATGAGTAGAGGCCTACCTGGAAGGAGAGCAAAAACATTCAGAATTTTTAAACACTGCACTGTTCTCTGGGCAAATGTCAGCTCCAATATGAATTTGTGTTTTTAGTGGGAAATGAGTTTAAACAAATATGACTTTCCTCACTAACAGGCATTCATCATCAGTAATACGATGACTAAAAGTTTATAACCCCAGTGAGCTCTTCATGTGGGGAACAATGTGGTTAAAGTGAATAAACCGAGTTGTATAACGGCACATTTCTGGGAAGCAAGATCTTAGAAAATTCTCCTCTTCAGAGTCACAACTCGCAACAAAATGCATTTAAATGAACAGTGTTATCAGTGCTGAAGAAAAGCAATTGAATGTGGCCTTCACCCACTCACCCGCCTCCGGAGCATCACACCGCTCATGCACGTAAACACACGCACACGTGAACTGCAAACACACACGTGCACATACCAGGGCAGAAGCAGCACACTTCACTGTCTGAGAATTTGTGAATGGAAAAATGGTTTAACACACTTGGCGGCAGAGCGGCAAGACTTCCTACGCTTTAGGACCGGAGGGACTGATCATCTCTTGGTCTGCCTGCCTGCTCTGTCTGTCACTCTGTCCATCAGTCAGTCCGACTGTCTGTCAAATACATATTTGTATAGGAGCCTTATCGCTTGTGCTAAACGGCTGTCTCAGAATTTGCCTGCACGTCTGAGTGTCTGGCTGTTTTTGGCTGAGTTAGCAAGACAGTTCTTTTTCAACCTCTTCTGCCAGGCGTTCTGTCTGTGTGTCCTCGTGTACATTTGTTTACCTGTCTGTCTGTCCGTCTGTCTTTTTCAATGTGTTTACTTGTCCGTCTGACTGCCAGCTCGTCTGACTGCCTCTGTTTTCGAGTGACTTCCTATCTGTCTGCCAGTCTCCTTTCTTAGTTCCCAATCTCTGTCTGTCTGACAGCCCGTCTCATGTTTATGTCTGTCTGTCACTTTATTTGTCTTTTCAGCTACAGTATTTACCGGGCTGTCTTTCTAGAAAAAAAAACAAAAAAGTTAGACACACAACTGCATCCTTTTAACTGTCTTTGTCTGTTACTAAATTCAGACTGTGTAGGATGTAAATGGTGTAATAGAAACCTATTTTTTAAAGCATAAATGGGAGCTGTTATGCTTATTTTCTTGTCTCTATACTTTACGTGACTCACACTTCAAAATAATCCGTATGTATCTGCAAGTCCTCGGTTCCACTGTCTTATTAAACAAAGCTGTTTTAGCATCTCTTCCTTTAAGCCTAAGTCTTCTTCTGACGGGCTGTCCCTCATAAATAGAACATAGAAATGACCATATTAGGGACCCACCCCCCCCTCCCTCTCTCTATGATGTCATACACAGCGAAGAACAAAAAAAAACTATTTGAAACTGAGCATTGAGAGCAGTTTGAATACTGAGCTTTTGCCTCCCAGGGATTACTTGTGCACGTACTGACCTCATTTTTCAAAACTTTAACTTGGGCAGCCACCCTTTTAACACACCTATACACAAATATGGAAAAGAGGCATGCTAAATTGGACTAGGCATACTTTAATATATTTTCCAAAGTACAAAAATCAGATGATGAGAAGAAAGACAGGGCGACGATGTGAACCAGAGAAGAAGAAGGTCAAATAACATGTATGAAAATAAAACTCGTTCTAAGGTTATGCTGTGATGCCACTTGTAGTAGCAAAAGGGAAGAAGCAAAATAATAAGTAATGAGACAGTGAACACTGTCAAGAAGTATTAGTGGAAGAAAGAGGAAAATAAAAGAAAAAGAATGGCATTAATAGAAAAGAACCAGAAGGAGAAAAAAAGCTCCAACAGGGGAGAGCAAGGTCACTGTAATCGCACCTCTTTGCTCTGACAGACAAATGGCAGTGTGTGTATACAAGTGTGTGTTTGTGCTGTGTGTACTAGAGTAACTTGTTATGCAAGGGACGTCCCAGCGGCAGCGAGGGAGACATGAAACATAAATACAAACACACACGCACGCACGCGCACGCACACACACACACACACACACACACACACACACACAGAGTTCAGCCTGTTTTCTTGTAAATCACTGTGCTCAAGGCTCAAGAGGACAAGCACACTAGGTGTGTGTACGTGTGTGTTGTGGTGGCACCCCTCGGTTAATGGAGGGAACTGACACCGCTGTGTGAGACAGTCAGCTGTCTAGTTTATATGTGTGTGTGTCCATTAACAGCATCCTGGGAGGGAGAGGACGAGCGAGAGAGAGAGAGAGGGGGGGGGGGGGGCAGATAGATAGATAGATATTTATGATGAACTACTTTATGTCATAGTCACCCTTCTTGCACACATATTACAACACACTGTCATTCACAGCCGCGGACGAGGACATCCCCCCTGCTTGGTTGCTACACACAAACACAATCTCACACAAACACACACACACTCACAGGAAAGCACCCACTTGACTGAAAAAGAAAGCAAGGCAAAGCAGACGAGAGAAGGGAAAGGAAGAAGAAGCCTGGATATGGACAGACAGACTTTGAACCAACCTGGCCGGCTCTCCTTTTCTATCACCGAAAGCATTCCTCTGTTTTCGCTCTCCCTCCTTCCATCGCCACGGAAACAGACACACCGACCAACCGGCCGACCGTCTCCTTCTCTCTCTCACGCATACACACACTTTCTCTCACATGCACACACAAGTTCAAACCCCCAATATGAAGTCCAGTTTGTCAGCAGCCACCCATTCATCCATGCCTCCATCCGCTGCTCTGTCCGTCTGCCACTGTGTGTGTTTACATCTGAGTGCGCTCACTCGTTCACCAGGCAGGCATGTGAGCGTGTCTCAGTTGGGAGGTGTATGTGAGTCTCTCTCTCTCTCTCTCTCTCTCTCGCTCGCTCGCTCGTTTTCTCTGTGTGTGTGTGTGTGTATATGTGTGTGTGTACAGCAGAGTGGGAGCCCTAGAGAAACACTCCTCTTGCCACAGGAGTAAAGCCCAGGCATGACGCAGAGCCAGAAATAGATGGAGGGGCCCCAGCAGGGGGGGGGGAGGCGCCAGGCCAACGCATATGGCACTTTTGCAAGGACATGAAGAGTGTGTTGTAATATGTAATACACAGTATTTACTACATATATATGAAGGCAACTTAAATGCACGCTTATATTTAGACTTGAAAGGGATGGCCAGCATATGCACTTTTAACAATGACAGCATTAGTGCGGAAAATCAATTTTATAGCAGTAGAATAACGTTTCTGAGCAAAGGAACTACAAAAAGTGCAACTGCCTGTAGTGCACGCAGAAGACCAGATGCATCAAATCTGACACCAAACAGCTCATCCAACTTCCTGTCCCTACATATAGAAGACTTATTTTGAGGATGCAAAATAAGGCACAAATGACCACTTTCTCATCATTGCCACATTTTAATTTCCAAAAAGCCAGACTTCGCAAAATCTCAGCGCAGACTGCGCTGTAAGCACAATGTATAAACGGAAAAATGTGAAACTGATCAGAAGAAAGAAAAAACTACCACTGCCGTCATTATAACTGCCTTACAAAAGTAACTCATGCACTCTGTAGCATCATCGATCACACCTGACTTAGTGTCAAGAACTGTTATTCCACCCAACTCAGGATTATGAGAGTACCAGAATCCAAAGTGATGTGCACCTCTGTGGTTTTTTAATCCAACCAACAGCCACTGAGTATTCCCTTGAAGCATGCATTTTCTTTTTCACCAAAGCCAAGATGTTTAGATATTTACTCACACACTGTATCATGATATAACACACAATAAGACACACACAAACTTTTACAGCTTCCTTACTGAGCATTTCCTTATTTTCTGTTACACACATACAGTTACAACTTTAGATGTTCACATTAAACAAAGTTTCAAATAATGTGGGCAATGTACAAGTGATCCCTGTAAAGCATTAATGCATAGTTTCAAACTCTGTTTTCCTACTTTTGGCTCTGAATAAATCCACAAAGAGGTGATATTACAAATTTTAAGCACTGAGATCTGTGCTGTTCAAACCATCTGTTTATGAGAGGCAGCCAATCAGAAGAAAGACAGCTTTAAGGGATAAGAAAAAAGAGGCTTGTTTCAGTCAGAAAATAAACTACTTTGCTTTAAACAGTCAGCTTACAATGTTTTTTTTCTATTTCAGCATGGTTGATGTCAGCTAGAGGGAATTTCCTTATATGATCATCTCCAGTGCTGCCCGTGTTGCAGCTCAGAACACCGCAAACCAGTCAGTCTAACTCAGAAAGCAGCCATGGATGCTTCCTTTCAATGGAAAATACATTATTACACTTTTTAGTGTGTATAAAGGCTGTTTTTGAAACCTCCACAAAGGCAAGAGAAGGAAGCCCACAAGCATTGAGTTTGGTTTGTGGAAGAGACGTGAGGGGCAACCAATCAGAAAAAAAATGTGACTTTTAAGGAGAGAGAGGCTTTAAAGAGACAGGAGCTAAAACGGCAAAGATTCAGACAAAGAATTAACAGAGGGCCTGCATAAAAAACACAGTATAAAAGGTACTCCAGAGGAGTCCAAGAACAAAAATAGGGAGCTAGAAATTAGCACAAGTGGAGGTGTGAGAATATAAAGACGGGAAGCATAATAATCCACATAAAAGCAAAAGAACACATTACAAGTGAAAAGAGATTTTGAAAAACCCCACACAAACACATATGCAAATACTGGATACAAACACACAGGAACTGAAGAATCTACATGCACAAACGGGTAAATAAACAGAAAACATCTGACTGTACTCTATATGTGTGTCTCACTGGAACCACAATCCATGCTGGTGTGCACTGGGAATACTAAACTTCAATGCATTTGGTATTATTCAAGCACAATGGGCTAGCCTCCACTCGCTGTATGTACATGCTGCCTTTGTGTGTGTACTGTAAGTGTGTATGTGCCTCACGCAGTGCAGTATATTTGTAAATCCCAGCACTTTGCAGCCTGCACCTGGTTTAACACTGATGTATACACTATGTATTATGTATTGCTACACACACATATACGCACACATAAAGATTTATGAATTATGCACATGTGCAGCCTGGCCTGCTCTCTATAAATAGTCCTTGTTCGGTTTAACTCAGCACAAGTCGCTGAGTGTTTTTCTTTTAATTAATACAGTTACATAGTCTGCTGGATTAGCAGTTACATTTCAATTAAGCGGCAAACAATTAGTGTTTTTTTTTTATATTTAAGGAACAGAAAGCGCAAAAATATGGCCACGCACACATACACACACACTTCCTCTAACGAGGCCAGATAGATGTCTGTTCTCTCCTAAGCATTAACTGCACATTTATAATTCAGTGCTTTATTGTTGACTATCAGCTATCACACCACACAGACTTGTTAACATGCACACACATGCATACAGTAACACACAGAGACACACACACAGTGAGTAGCGACTGCTGGTTATGAAACAGCTGTTGAGTCGAGAGAGCTCTGTATGTATTTGAGCAGTGAGAGTGCAGCTTACATAAATACTTGATCATATCTGGATTGCTCTCAGTCTGAAAATGTATAATCCGCCTTGTTAGGATCACTCGCCAAGAAGATAGAGCAAGAGAAAAGGAGCAGAAAGGCAGGGGAAGAGTAGGAAAACAAAAAAGAAGCATCAACTGTCAGAGCGGGGTGGATACACAGCTCAAAGCGCATCACTTGAACATGTCATTCATCAAAAAACACCTTTTGCATTCAACAACTACAGTTCCCAGCAGGCTTTGACACCCCTCATTTTCCAGCATTGTCATGCCACATCATGTTCGCACTGTGGGAGTTTGGAACATTCATGCATTATTCCAGTATATAATCCCCCAAGAGCCACACCGCAGAAGTGCTGTCTAAGTTGTCCGTGTTTGTCCTGAAGTATATTTGGAGCAGCCCCGTAACAAGTTAAAACAAAAAGAATTAAAGTGGAGAGGTGAATCGTTTTAAATTAGATTCAACAGTCAAATTAGTGATAACATCAGATTTGGGCACATTTTTCATTTTCATGTGCCAACATTAAACTATTATCATTAAAATCACATGCACAATGTTTCATTTTCAGTATGCAGGGTTACTGTCGTTAAAGGATGCAAAACACAAGCCACCCAAGCATATGTGGCCATTTGTTTTTATTTTTTCCAGACAGTAACTCGGATCATTTACTACCGGACAATCCCCTCAGTCTTATTTTATTCTGCTAACCAGCTAGGTCTGGTCCTTACTGTGTTTTCCTAGAGGTAGGGTGGTCAGGTGGGCAGCACTGTGGTGCAACAGTTTGCCCTTCTGCCTCACAGCAAGAAACTCACCAATTCAAACTTTCTGCTCAGCTGGGTCTTTCTTTGTGGAGTTTGGCTGCTTTCCCTGCGCTCCTGTACCTGTGTGGGTTTCCTCTGGGTGCTTTGGTTTCCTCCCAGTCCAAAGACATGTTTGTTAGGTGATTCCAAGTTGGCTGTAGGTGTGGATGCTAGAGTGTTTGGTGGTCTGTCTCCCTGTGTTAGCCCTGTTAGGGACTGGTGACCAGTCCAGAATGTACTCCGCCTTTCGACTAGTGACAGCTAGGCTGAGCTGACATAGATCTCCTACAAGTCTTAGTTAAGATGTTAAGAAAATGAATGGATGGATGGATCTAATAGGGATTACCATCACCAGCTGAAATCTGTCTTCTGGAGAGCTAGTTGATTTATGCCTCTATATTAGTGAGGTGGCTGTGGCTTAAGAGGTAGAGTACTGGAAAGTCAGTAGTTCAATTCTCCCACGTCTTTGTGTCAAAATGGCATTAAAAGATAACAAATTAGCAAGTAAAAAAAGTGTAAAATACAAATCTCCCACATGAGTCATGAAAGAAACTCAGGATTTATGACAGGACTACCTCTGGGCACTTAGTTTTCCTGCATCAAGACACCAACATATATCTCTGTGACTCTGCTTCAGAATGCTTGTACTCCATGCTCTGGCATGGGAACCAGTTACTCATTCTTGACGTCACCCAAAAAGCACTGATTTATATTCTGTTTACTCAGTAGGTAGAAGCAGTCATCAAAGCGACACTGCCACACCTTTTTCTCTCATCAAAGATGTGAATGGTGATTCAGAGGTATGGAAACACGTTAAAAACGGCTGATACTGAAAACTAGACAGTCCGGTTAAAATGAAACACATGAAACAACAAAAACTTGCCCGGTGACAATACAGTACGCCCGTTCCTTTTTCTAACTTTCAGTAGCCGGCAGCTGAAGTGGACCATTTTCTACCCATTGGATACGTTTGACTTTACTGCCTAAGCCGTCCATCATCTTGAACTGTCACTGAAATCAGCGTCATTATCATTTGAACTGTTGAAAGGAGTCGACTTTCATGTGCAACAGGAAGTGATGTGTCTTATTTACAGTGTTTTTTAGAGTGAACTAAGGAAGAGAAACTGGGTCAGTAAGACAGTTAGATACCAGTAAGACCAGTACGTACGCAAACTTAAATTTAAGACCGTCCAGTCCACGTTTGACCGGCAGGTGGATCTTGGGAAGTTTGTTATGGAAACACGGCTACAATGTGCACTTAGCAGCAAGGGAAAAAACACTTTGAGGAAGTAATAGATGATTCATTTAAACAGCATAAAATAAAGAGTGAAGGGGAAGTGAGCATGATAAATGTGAGGTGGAACAGATGAGTGTTCAGATTATCATATAGGATGTAGACCGTGACCTGATTTGGATCCCATAATCAGGGAAAGTAAGAACAGAACGTAAACCTCTGGACGGAGGCCGTTTGTCTTTCATGGCCATTACAAGCCGCTGCTCACTCTTCTTCTTTGTTAATGGGGAATATTAATTTCCTGTATTCCATCTTTACTGCATTAATATTTGATGATTAAATATGGCCGGGAGCGTCTCAGGCTCATTGCCAGCAAGGCTCTGTCTCAGTCTTGGTTTGCATTCAGTTTCCCAAAAAGTATTTAATTTGTCTGTTTTATTGTAGCATTTGTCTTTTGCTTTGTGTCTTCCTCTGTGTGTTTTCTTTGGTCAGTTAATCAAGATAAACCCTTGAAATGTCTTCTGTTCCAATCTCTCACTTGCTCCCTTGGAATTATTCTCTATCATGGGTTTCTTCCTCTCGGCTCCATCCGTCGGTCTTAAGCCTGTTTCAGGCTGACTGTTGCCAACAGGATCCCAGGGCTTTACTTCCTTTTCTTCCCATGAGTGACGAGGCATGATGTGGATCCAGCCAAAAACTCTAAAACTGGGAGTTGTCAACCCAGCAACAGTTGTTCAAACAAGTGATATCCCACAGCCAGTTGTGGGTGGATTTAGCCAAAGAGAGCTCAGCTCTGAAGTGGAATTATTTGTGTATGTTGCGCTTCGTCTGTCCACAATAGTCACCATTTCCAAACAAGTTATTACTTTCTTTGATTTATAATGCTATCTTAGACCACATTTACAAACATATGTTGAATCCATACGCTATTAACGCATATATTTTACATTCAATCACATATTTGTGTCTTTGTTTGTCTTTTCGCAAATTCGTGTTGGTTTTTCAGGTGCAGGAAAACCGGAAGCTGTATGGTAACTGTCAAAGACACCACAATGAAAAATAGAGCAAAGCATGAGTGCAGACAGGCCACGAGGTCAAGCTAAGCCACAATCCTGCCAGATTAGTTCATCTCAGTGTCAACCCTCATGCGCTGCTAGCTTAGCTCATGCCCTTCTATGTATCTGATTGGCTCACACAGAGTACTGCCTTCAGTTGTTGTGCCCCTGCAAGCCACTTTTCAACCCACCTCCTCTTACTGCTTTTCATTTCCTCCGTGTCTGACTAAGTCCCTGTCATGCCCGTTGTCCCTGATGCCTCCTCTGGAATGTGTGGGGGGCACGCTGCTGCTTTCTCTGCCCATCGTTCCATGTTTGAACACAACAAGGTGAGCAGGCCCGAAAACAGGGCCGTACTACTACAACTACTATTATGCAGACTACTTTAACAGTTTCACTACAAATATAATGTATTTGCTAGCTCACATTTATGAATTCCAATATTCCAATAAAGTTGCGCTCAGGGCGCTCTCTCGCTCGTATAGATTACTGCTGTTTCATGCCGTTTTCACACTTCCAATGAAGAATCAATGGCTACACGTCTTTTTCAGTGAAGCAGCTTGTCGATGAATGACGGGCATGACGCACTACAAATGGAATGTGAGCAGACCAATGATGCATTAAGTGACTTGTAGCTGGCATTGTAGCTTCTGATGTTTTTTTCCAACTTTGTGGCTCGTACGTGGATTACTCCATCCATCCATCATCCTCTGCTTATCCAATTCAATTTACTGGGTGAACTGAGAGGTGGGATAAACCCTGGACAGGCCACCTATTTGTCACAGGGCTAGAGAGACAAATAGGTTCATAGAGATGAACAACCAATCACTCACATTCACACTTATGACCAATGTAACACACTTGGCTTTGGATTGTGGAAGCAAGGAGAGAACCCAGGGTTGGTAGATTTGGATCTTAACAGTTACAGAGATTACTGCTGCATCGTTTCTGTAATTTTGTACTGGACATTGTGTGTGTTTGTGCCTTCTGGCTTTTGGAAGAATTAAAGGTGTCTTTTGGGTAATGTCTAAAAAGGTCAGGGCTGCAGTGCAAACAGCTCATAATATGTGTACGCAGCGCAAATTACTCACTTGGATCATTTACCACACCATCAGCTGTCTACTGTACGCACGCCCTCACCTCCTTCTCCACTTTCCACAGCTTTAAACATCGACCAAAACGAAAGATATCCTGAAGCAGCATTTAACACACATTAATGTGCACAGACGCCCACACACACAAATACCGGCATGCAAACAATTAAGACTGCCTGCAAGTGCCCACATGCGGAGTACACACACACACATACATACGTGTATAGACAACAAAGAGCAGCCAGCATCTTAGGAAGTAGAGCAGAGAAAATGCAGGGCTGTTCTTTCCACAGCAGAGCTTCCCCACAGCAAAGCACCATGGGAAATATGGCATGGTCACAACAACAGGGTGCTTCCCTTCCCGACACTTGGAAGACCCGCATGAGCGAGCGTCTTCTCCATACTTTCTACCTTTAATTTGGATTCTTAAATGTTGCATTTGACATGTTCTTTCCACAAAGATTTTCCATATCTGAGAAATTATCAATATTGTTTTTCACTTTGATTTTGTTAATAATATTTTCTTTTATAAAAATGCCACACAGATAAAACCTCTCTTAGCTCAACACAGAGGAAGAGGGAGCGAGAGAGGCACCACTTTAGCCTCTAAGCCATGGGGGACCCAGTAGAGTGTTATGCAACTCAGCCATGCCAACACACACACACACACACACACACACACACACACACACACACACACACACACACACACACACACACACACGCCAGCTGTCCCTGATTCCAGCAGTGAAAACTATCTCTATGTCTATTTGTCTATCTCTGCTTCCCTGTCTTTCCATCCCTTCCTCTCACTATCTTTCCATCCATCTCTCTTGGTCAATTTGTCAATCCCTTCTCTAATACACTGCCAAAAGTACGTGGACACCCCTTTCAAGCTTGGATCAAGTCTCTTAGTTTAGTAAACCTCAATGCCACGGCATACAGAGGTATTTTAGACTACTTGATTTGGTTGGTTGGATGTTTTTTCTCCTGCCCTGCCATAACATCAAAATTCCTGCAGCCAGGATTAAAAGGTGACGTCACAGTTCCTATGTCCATCTGTCATATACAGTCTATTTTCTTGACTGGAAAGCACTTTAGGTTAATTCCCGTTGTGATTTAACTTGATATAGGATTAACATTTGTGTGTGTCCACATACTTTTGGCTCTGACTCCCTTTGTCTAACCTTTCCGTCTCCCTTCAGTACTTCTCTCATCTCTTTAGTCCCATTTCTTCCATCACTTCACACTGTCTCTCTTTCTCTCTCTCACCATGTCGGTCTGCAGAGTTTCATGTTGCCTGTGGCACCTGTCGCCCCGTGGGGGTGACACAATGTGCGCACACTCACACACACACACACACGGGGTTCGACTTACTCGAAAAGGTGGTATTCATTATTAGAAGTCTTGCAGTGTGTATAGGGGGCTTCCCAAGCATAACACACACACACACACGCACACGCACACACACAAGTACCCATTGCCAGCAACCTTCCCAGCAGGGCAAATGAAGACTAAGCACAACCCTTCGAGTTCACCCTCATTAAAGAGACTGTTGCCTGCGTCTCAAACACACACACACACAGCAGTGGCCGGCTGCACAGGTACAGCGGACAAAAGCGACTGACGTCAGCTCTTAAAGGTTACCATAAACCTCCCTTGGTGAAAAACACAGCAGATCCAGCCCGATTCCAAAAAAACACAGTGTTTACCCCAAACTTCTGTTCATTAAAGCCAAACCTCAAAACACAAAGGTTATCCCTGACTTTAATTACAGAAAATCAACACAAAACTCAAATCACCCCACATACCCGCATTTCAGAGGTCACACCTGTGACGCAGTGCCTTGATGGAAACAGTATGACAGATATAAAGATGAAAAGGAAGACTTCATCACTACGCAAGCAAATTTGTCCTTACAATGCAGTCAACAACCGGTTGTTGGAGAATAGTAAATTTGGTAAAACTACTTGATTTTCAGATAAAAGACCAGACCTTTCTTTAGCTCGTCCATTAGTTTCTGTAGCTCTAAAAAAAATGCCCATCTTCTTAGAAAGAACATGGTTTCCTGTTCCCATCTAAAAATAAACGTGATAGCTGAAATTCTTAACAGTTCTGCTGGCATTTAACATAATTTCCAACAAGCCCTCACCACTGCTATGTTTTAAGAGTCTCATGGGAGCTGTACCTGGTTTATACAGTTATTCTTTAGGTAACAATTCAGGTTCTTGAAAACATGTCTAATTGTATTCATTATTGTGAGAGTAATCGCTCAGTTATCTGCGTTACTATGTAGAATAGAGAGGTAAGCAATACGATTTTTAATAAGGAAAACTGGTCCCAGTGGTGAGCAAAGGAGGGACAGCATTCACAGAAATGCAATTTGGAAACCAGCAGCCATCATGTGATAGAGATTTATCTTCAGATTGAACAGAAAATCTTGCTCTGGCTACAAAAAAAATAGCCATTGCTCCAACTCACTAAAAGGTCCCCAAATTGTAATGATAATGACATGTAAATCTGGACCATAAATCTGGTAATTGTAATAATCCAGGATTGGATAAAGTCTGCCCAGAATTATGTGTGAAGGTGCCAGTATAGTGTGCAGTATAGCATAGTATATGAAGGGATCACTGATATGCTGAAAGGCTACTGCGATGGCCTGGGTTTAAGTTTCCCCCGGGCCAGTTCCTGCTAGTAACCTTTGTGTATTTTTGACATATTTTGATAATGTCAATTGTAATTACACAAAAAAAAATCTACAATATGATTTAAGATTTTACATCACCTTTTCAGGATGGTTTAGCGTGGGAAAGTCTGGGAACTTTAGTTCAATGAGCCAGAGTTTTCCCACTTGCAGAATAGCTTCCTGAATTGCAAATATGGTTTCTCACAAATGACCCCGAGTTAGCCTAAATGCTACTGGTATGAATCCCCTAACACACAGACAACCTAGCTTTCAACCAGTCAAAGGAGGCTAACATCTGACCCCTCTTTTTAAAATGCATCCAGAATATTCTGCACAATTTTGGCTGAACCTTAGTGACAGCCATCTGTCTGTCTGTTTGTATTTCTGTCTGTTCAGCTATTTGTCTCTCTGCATCATCCGGCCCAGGCTTGCCCCACGATGCTAAAATTATTCGGGCTGTCCCCGTGGACGCTCCAGATATGTGCTTGTTTCACAGAAGCCTCTTTGAGACATCAGGGGTATCCAGTTTAGTGTTACACAAGTAAACCATGCCAAAGCACACACATGCACAGTCACATAAAAAGTCTGATAAATAGCAGCATGACAGGACCAGGAGGGCAGAGCTGTCCATCACAGCTGACTGAGTCAGAATAACTGACAGGCTTCAATACGCAGGTCACTTTCACATGTAAAGACAAAAAAAAATCAGACCGCATGTGCCCTCGGATGTGGGGTCTTAAGAGGAATGTAATCAAGGTTTTAAATAAGGAGTCTTTCCAAGACAAGATGAATTTTAAAATGAGTTCCCCAATTCTTAGTTAATTTCAGTCCAATTTGAGTAAAGTCTTTTTCTGCATCGTGCCAATTCCCCAATGCCTTTTATAGCAATTATAAAACAGCTCTTGTCCTTTTCCAGATGGGTTTCATCTGTGTGTGTTTACCCATGAGTTTCATTGTGTACCTGTGAGTTGTCATGGAAATGTGGGGGGAACATTTTGTAATAAGATCCTGTGAGGTGGGACACACTTATCAGCAACAGTCCAAGCTAAAGAAGTGACATGTTCAGCTTGTTTATTTAGAGCCACACCACCTTCCTGACTTCCTGCATCACAAAACCCAAAAAAAAAAAAAGCATAGTAATCAAAAACAACCAAAGGTAATGCTACCATGAAAGCATTAAGCTTGAATAAGGTAAATTTCCAGCTCAGTTACTGGCATAGGAAGTGCTTTTCAGACTTAAATGACCCAATTTGGCTGCATTTTGGATCAATTGTTGTTAAATAATGAAACAGTATATGTGCTTTAATTCATTTAAGGTTATATTTGACAGATCTGCTAAGGACCAGATTATCTTTATTATGTCCTGATATGTAAAACCTTTGATTTTAAAGAGGGTGTGCTTTCTTTTTACTATGATTGAACAATTAATATTATGTTTTTAATGTGTCTGCAGTATAAAGAATTGTGTTGTGGTCACTGTGATAAAGACACGTAACAGTGGACTAAAAAAAACTTCCATTAAAAACAAGTATTGAAAAGTCTTATGTGTGTATTATAAGTTAAGTGGAGACGATTCAGTTTGATATCTTCTAAAACATGAAAGTTATGGCACTTTCAGCTTTGAGGGTATTTAAATTTTTTACACTTCTACAGATTCAAATCTACTGAGAAGTAGTTTGTTAAGAGACTCTTACCTTCTCTTCCCCTGTGCTGACAAGAGGAGAAGCTGCCAGGCTGACTCTGTGTGTGCTTGTGTCACTCAGTGAGCCAGTGGTTCGTTAACTAATTAGTGAGCTCGTTTATCTCATTAGCCTCTGATTGATCTGCCAGCTGATGGACTGGCAACTGAGCGCCCCTGTGTGTGTCTGTTGTACGTCAGACGGAGCGTGCTAATCGATATTAACAACACTGTGAAGAGTTTAATTGTTACGCAACCTCATTATCTGGCAGCGACTGCACAGAGGGGAAGGATTCCTGTGTTACACCAATGTCAGCAGAAGGGCAGACTTCCTGTTACTGGCAGGAAATTAGGTCAGGTAGCACGACTAGCTGGCTGCCGGATGATATCTGAATGCCAGGATGCACACCAACACACATTTACATGGGCAGTTGGTATTAGTGTGTTCCACTGGAAGAGTGGCAATGTGTAGGACTTTTGCTTAGTATTAATCATTTAAAGAACAAGCTAGTCACCATGAAACTTTATCAAACAAAAACTGAACATCCTTTGAATCTCACTCCTCAAAAGTGGGTCCTTACCGTACAATATAGAGCACCCACAGGTGACTGTTGTTGCTTTTTGGTGCTATATATTAAAAAAAAAAAAGAATTAAACTCAAATTAATGCAATTGAATTATTGATGAGTAATCCCAGTCCCTTGAAAATGACAATAAAAAAGTAAATAGTTTCTCATGTACTTCAGTATCCCCGATTGCCAAAACCTGGGAGAACAAGGGCATCAAAGGTTAACTTTCATATTGTTGTTAAATTCGTAGCTAAAACAATACGTCTCGCGTCATTTTCACTTTACTATTACTCCTTTTTTTTCTACCTTTTACACTTTCAAATGTGCGCACAACAACACAGCAATTTTCTTTTCTGCCTTTGTGACTTCCTTTGTACCTTTTCCGTCATGTATGTCGATTCTCCCAACACAACATTTCTGTCTCAGTTTTTTCTGAATTTATTTTTGGCTTTTGCCTTTTTTAAATAGCAACAATTATAGAGAAGAAAGGAAGGTGGGGGGAGAGAGAGTGGGAGGATGACATACAGGAAAGGGTTCAGCCTACAGGTCCTGCGCTACACCAAGTGAGCTATGTGGCACCTGGTTGTCTCAGAATTTGATAGATTTTCTTTGTGTAGAGATTAGATGTTATGAACGAGTTTGTTTTTCCATTTTAGCTGCTTCTGTTTGCCAGACTCACTATGACTTACTTCCTCCCAGAAGTGAAAGAATGGAAACAAACAAATAAATGTGCAGCATAGCCAGCTGACGAGTCACCGGCTACTTCCCGACAAATACAAATTTAAGACAAGTTGTTTACCACCAAAGTACAGATTCTGGCAACCCAGAAAACTTAAAGCATGTCAGGAAAGCTTAATTAAGGTGGCGTGGAATGTTTTTATTTTGTTGTTTTTCCTATAAGAGGGAATGCCACACATTCCCACCTGGGAGCTGCCAGTATAACCACAGCTTTGCTCAACTGGGAGCTCTAGCGGGGCAGGCTTTTGACCTTAGAGTGTAAAGCTTGACTGGCTGCTGCTGCTGATCTTTACAGAACTGAAAATAGAGTCAAATGAAATAGCTAAGTGGCCTGATCTGTGGTATGTTAGCAGCAGTGCTGGGATCTTAATGGGAAAACATTGCTCTTTCTTAATAAATCAGTCTGCACCACATTTCCTGTTTAACGCCATTTCTTAACTCTGTACATGTCAACCACACGCGTTCACTACTTCCAAGAAAAATAAACCTACAACATTGGTTTTACGCTGATGCAATGTAGAGGAAAAGCAGTCATACTTTCATGCATTTGTCAACCTGACAGTTATTACAATGCTGCAGTCACAGAAAAAAAGCAGAGCTCTACATGAATATTACAGGCAAAAACAGGAAATCAAAAGCCCTGAAAGTGAACTTACACCCATCCACCGAATCAACAATTATTAGTGACTTTCTTTCTTTTGCATTCTGTTTATTTTGTAGCCTTTTTTAGCTTGCTCGTGTAAACTCTGCTCCAAAGCATTAAAATTCCCACAAGACTTGAAGGCAGCATGAGGCAAGCGAGTTCATGCTTTTGAGGAAACAAATAAAAATGTGGTGAAAGGGGCAGTTTTAACATCAGATTCCGTTTAATTGTCACAGACAGTAAACCTCAGTTCTGAACTGCATTATGGGAAATGTAGGACATTTCAGGACAAAATAAAAGGCCAGATATCTCAGACCCTTCTAGATTAAATTATGGCAGTTCCTTTCTTGATCTGTCCCTCATGAGTCAGTCAAGTTGTAGTTCTCAAGTTTCCCTTTCATGAGGATAATCTGAACAATAATCTTGAGCAACCGTTCAAGACAAATCTTTGGTAGTAAAGCACCTGAAGCAGTACAAGTCAGCAAAAAAAGCTGACCTTGTTTGACAGCGACATCTAATGAAATGTCTGCAGTCCTTCCCTCCGTTATTTTCTGTATCCTGAGTGTGCAGCCAGCAGGGGCATTCCTGATGAAGTGCATCGATGAGGTGAACCCAGGTAGAAAGCCATTAACCTTCATTGATCCTCTTAGTCTACTTAGATCAATGGCAGAGGAGGAAATGGAGAAGAGAGAGAAGTACAGGAGTCACAGGACCAGCTTTCAAACTCTACTCTGGTAAGATGACACTGATAAAAAAAAAAAAAAAAAACATATAAGCAGCTCAGTATCAAAACAGTCCTTTCATACTGAGCTGTAATATACTTTGGAGATTCACACACACACAGACTGACACACACACTCTTTTAGTTGTGACTGCCCGTTCACCTTTAGCTTTCCCTGTGACGTAACAACTCAGGGAGGGCAAGGGCAGGCCACATTGCACAAATCTGGCTTACCTTATGTACACACCCACTCACACAGACACACAAAGACACACGCTCACAGCTTTCTGCATTGCCATTGCACCATTCAGCATCAAATATGCATCAAATTATATAAGAGAGCCTCTTATGTAACAGGCTCTATCCCCTTCTCTACCCCAGCATGTGTGTGTGTCTGTGTGTGTGTGTTTTCACGCTGAGGTCTATGGCTAATGAAGCCATCTTTGCAGGGGCAAAACACAGAAACGGAGGGCAGAAAGGAGGAGGAGGAGGAGGAGAGCAGAGCTAAATATAACTCTTCTGGCCCTGAGCAGCATCTGAGAAACAGGAAGAAAGGAGCAGAGGGAAGATGTAGAGACGAAAAATGATCGCAGTGGAGATAACAGGCGAGAAAAGACAAATTCTACATAAAGTTGAAGATTTAAAGATACAGAACAAATTAACTGTTTTCCAACAATCTTTCAATATTGTTTCTTATACGTGCACCTGACTGCTTTCCAGTAATTCCCCAACCTACTGCTCTAGACCCAACCTGCTTCTCTAAACAAAACTCTCTCCAAACAAAGTCTATTCTTTCATTGTGACCACATGTCATCAGAGGGGGTTATTTTGTACGTTTCCACTTTCCCTCAAGTGCAGGTCAGGACAAACCTTGAGACTCACTCAAAGTGGACAAACTACACGTAAACACTTGGTTGTTTTTGACTATCGGGCAAGAACAGGAACCGTGGAGTCATTAGACCAAAAATAACTTGTTGATATGTGTTGATATGCCCAAAGTCAACAGGGCAGGTGGGAAACCTTCAGTTTCTCTAGAATTCTTCAGCTCAGATCATCAAGCAGCCTTCCTTTCATCGCATACTCACACCGCCTAAGAAAAGCATCACCACACACACACAGACAGAAACACTTACAGCATCGCAGTCTCCCGCCACATACTGTAGCAGCCTCTCTGCCCGCCGCTGGAATCCACAGCTCTGACATTTCTGCCCGCCACAAGCTCAACTGGAAACCTTTAACAGCCTGAGGTCAGCCTGAGAGAGAGATGGAGATAAATTACAGTGTTTGGTTTGGTGAGGAGGCCAGAAACAGTGACTGGGTTCATGAGCAGCAACTTCGTCCCTGAATGTGCCTTTATATGTACATGTTCATGTGCAAATGCATGTCAGGGTGTATGCATGTATTTATGATGTGCTGATTTTATTTAATGTGCATGTTTTTTTTCAGTTATTTCCCTAAATCCTCCACAAATAAAGCAGCCAAATAAAGACACACTCACAGGCAACTATGTTAGGTACATAGACTCCCCCATTTGTTAACGTAAATGTCTAACCTGCCAATAAAATGGCAGCAGCTCAATACCTTTGGGCATGTAGACACGGTCAAGTTGAACTGCAGAAGTCCAAACTGAGCATCGGAATGAGGAAGAAACGGTGATTTAAGTGACTTTGGAAGTGGAATGGCTGTTGGTGGCAAACCTGCTGGTCTGTATTTCACAAACTGCTGAACTACTCAATTTCCCTGCACAACCTTCTCTAGTGTTCACAGAGAACGGCCCAAAAGAGTGAAAATAATCAGTGAGCTGCTTCGTGCTGACAGGAAGGCAAATCAATTTCTGCCACAATATTCGGATGGTAGGGTCAGAATTTGGTGTAAACAACATGAAAGCATCGATCCATCCTGTATTGTATCAACAAATCAGAGTGGTGGTGGTGGTGGTGGTGGTGCAATGATGTGGAGAATATTTGGTTTGAATATAGTTGGGCGTCCTTTAAATGCCACAGCCTGAGTATTGTTCCCGACCATATCCGTCCATTTATAGCCACATCGTACCCGTCTTCTGATGCCACAAAGCTCAAATCATCTCAAACTGGTTTTTGAACATGAAAATGAGCTCGCTAGACTCAAACAGCCTCCGCAGTAACTAGATCTCAATCCAATAGAGCAACTTTGGGATGAGAACAAACGGGAAATCTGTGATGATATCACTTTGGACCAAATCCTTATTAAGTCACAAAGCATTAAGGTGGATCTGACGGCAAAAGGGGGTTCAACCAGGTGAGTATAGTAGTCCAGTATGTGAATTTACATTATGGCACCTTCCCACATTAATACATGACATCGGTTCCTTGTCTTGCGCTGCTAATTAACATGTTCTAAGTGAGCACCAGCCACACAAAAATGTACTGTGTATTGTGAATGTGGGCCTCCATTTAAATTAGATTCACTATTCTAGGATTTCAGATTATATTATTAGTCTTAGTTAATTATTCATGGCTTTGTGTGGTTTTTCCTCAACAGACTACCTCACTGCTGTTTGTCCAGCATTCTGTTTAAGGCTCTAGAGTTACAGGATCAGCAGGATGTGCTGGTATCCATGACTTAAATGTTCACTCTTTGGTGAGGTTTATTCACATTTACTGCATTCTTTCATTTTTGATTTTAAGTGTGTCGCACTTTCTTGTTCTTACTTACATTTTTAACTAAGCTAACCAGGAGAAGTATTAAGATATCAAACTGACTTAATGGTCCTAAATGCAGATAAATCACCTCTCCGTCTTCACTGAATTAAAAATTGACACAGCTTAGCTTATACGCCTATATTCACGAATGTGAAACACCTGAAAATATCCCCTAACTCTAATACTTCCCCATAATGTGCTTTACGTTCATGCCAACAATCACACTTTCTGTAGGAACGTCACTATATTTACATTTTTTTTTGAAAAACAGGACTTATCTGAACATATTTGCATAGATATTTCTGGCCCTCAGTTGAATGTCTCTGTGTTTAATATCCAGTGGGAATTAGAGAGATGAAGGACAAATTTTACTGATGACACTAAGGTAGTCCAACGCGAAATCGCACACATGCACACACAAGATGCCTGACAGCTGCTTCTGATCATCCTATGTAGTTTAAGTTCAGAGAGAGGTCTAATATCACCCAGCTGTCAGACAAATCCTGTCACTGACACCGTTTGTGCGTCTGAGTGTGGAAAACACATTAGACACAGATACGTTCAAAACTAACAGTGGAGATATCTGAGCGTCTTTTAATTTCGCCTCGTGCCTCATCACTTAAAAGCCTGAAACTGAAAAGAGAGCCTGGAGAGAGACCTTACCACTGACAGCCGAAAAGAAAAAGGAGGATCTGTTTTGGATTTTTGGGTTTCTGTTGGTGCATTAGGATGAAAGAGGAGCTGAGGGGAAAGAGGAAAAGAAAGGACAAGGGAGGAAAAGTTAGTCAGAGAATGAGGGAAAACAAGAAGAGAAGCGAGGGAAAAGAGAGCAGATTAAAGGGAAAGGAGCTGGAAGCAAGAAGTTGAAAAGAGAGAAGGGGGAAAACAGGAGATGGGGGAGAAAAGGAGAAATAAATAGAGGAGGAGGAAAGGAGGAAGAAAGGAGAGAGGAGCACATCACAGGGGAGACAAACAGGAGACCAACGAGTTGAGACAGGACAAGAACAGAGGAGAGGAGATGAGAAGAGAGTGGGGAGGAGAGGAGAGGGAGGAGAGGAAAGGGTGATGAAAGGGAGGAGAGGACTGCATCCAGAGACAGATAGACAGAGCTTTGAAGAGGCGGAGGAGGAGGCGGCAGAGGAGGAGGGGGGATAGACTGGGATCAGAGTGAGTGATGGATGAAACAGAAGGCAAAAGGACTGAGTGGTTGAAAGAAGGGAGACGCCTGGATGGAGGGATGGACGGGTTGTGGAAAAAACAGTGAGCGAACCACTCAGAGTGATGAAAGGAGAAAAGGAGCTGGACAACAAGAGGGGAGAAGCTGAAATGTGAAGAGAGAGAGAAAAGAAGTAGTTCTGTTTTTTCGAGAAGTCTGACACGTTTTAGTTACATTTTCTGTAAAAATGTGCACAAAACTTTAGTCGGAAAAGGGAAATTTGCAGTATAGTTTATAAAAGCAGGCAGACAAAAACACAGTCTGGGAGTTTGTGGTAAAGTGGAGGGCTCTGTACAGCATTGGCGGTAATAGGATGTGACAATTTTGCATAAACATATGCAAAATATTCCGACTTCTTTTAGAACTTAAACCTTCGTGAGGAAAAGTTAGACACAGACCATGTGGATTTATCGTTAAACAGTAATGAGTAGCGTGCACACAAGAGGGAACATTTAAATTTAGCTGTCGTGCCATGTCCATCTATCCATCCATTCCCATAACCGCTTATCTAACTGAAGGCGACCGACAGGGTGGATTTCTCCCAGCTGGACAGGTCACAAGTGCAACACTGGGCTCAGAAAAATGCCCCGTTACAACACAGCGTCTGCTTTGACATGATAAAAAAAAATGTCGCACTTTGCTCTGAAATGAAACACAGCTGTCGTCAGAAATGCGTCTGAGAAAGTCATCGCCATACATGTGAGAAAGAGTTAATCAGTTATTCCTGAACATCATGGCAACAAACTCCACCTGTTTACTGACAACATTTTACTCTAATGCTGATGCTGTGGTGTGTTCAGGGTAAAGAGAGAGTGAGGGTGGAGAGTGCTGGGAGAGCAGCTGACATGGAGGTGAGTGACACATAAGAGCAAATATTGATAGTTAAAGGGGAAAAAACAGCAATATATTACAAAACACTATTAGAGATTATTGTCTTACACAGTATTTTGGAATTGGATTTCATATTTTGACTTATTACTGCACTCAGACCCACCACAGTCTGATTAGTAAGATGTGTGTAAGTCACTAAATTCCATCTTGTATTATCTCAATAATCTACTGATTGTCTAAAACATAGCAACACACAGGAAGTGTTAGCTAGACTTGAGAAAATCTCCACATGGCAGTGTTAACTGTGACATTGTGTTATAAATACTAATACTAATGTCAAAATGTATATATCTATTAAAACATGATCTAGAATCTATTAACATGTGTGGCTATTCTTCATGCACTCTATGCATGTGAATATAATCTGAATAAAGACCAATTCACACTTTTGCCTCAACAGTATTGTTTTAAACTCAACAGTAACTCATGAATTACTAATCAGTCAAGACCTCACATTATGTCAAACACTGATTGCTGGAATATTTCATCTTTAGTGGGGATAGTGTTGCCAATACGGATTATCATTTTACACATGTAAAGACATATAGATATCCACATATAGCTTTCATTTGTACGTGGAAATGATAAATAAATCCACCAGGATTAAGCTGTTTTCTTAACTCAGCAGTTTCTGTCATATTTCAGGCCTGTTTATAGAACAAAATGATTAGCTTTGGGTCTGATTTTAATGAGGGTGGTCTCTCCCTATGCAGCTACTCTCAAAAAAGCCAGAAATGGTTTTGAAGGTTGTCAAACTACATCTTTATTGATATATATCTAGTTCGTCATTAAGGGTAGAGGGGAGGTCGTCAGATGTTGTTTTCATGGGGGTAGATAAAGAAGGTAGTCAGAAATGCACAAAAGAAATGAACAGTATTAAACAGGCCAATATCAATAGTAGGTTCAATGTGTTACATTTCTAGGGAAGCAGACGCCAGGTTTCAGTGTATGATTTCAGAGAGGTTTGTGGTTATGACTTAGCTACGGCGTAACTTTCCTGCTGAATCATAAATCCCCTGTAAGCAGGCCATGTGTGGTAGCTCTGCTACTATTAGTGTGAATGTGCATGCAAATGCATTTTTGTTAACATTATATCTAGCCTGTTTAGTCTTTGCAAATAAATAGCCATGCTACATTTAAACTTGGTACCAGGAATATTGATAATATTCTATGGCACTGCAGGAAACCACAGTAACTGTTGCTATAAACTGCTGCTCAGCTTTAGTCTTGTATGAGTGACTTGTGTTGTTGTTGTTGGATAGTCTTTATATAACATCCAGAGAAAGCTTGAGTTTTTAAAATGCCTGGAGACTAATGTTCTTTATTTTAGTTTCACAATGATGGAAGTTTATCCCATGAAGGTTTGAAAGGGTGTTAAGAGATAAAATAAAAAATAAAAAAAGGGGGTAGTTTTTTTTGTGAACCTGAAGAGAAACATTTAATCTGTTTACTGGAATTAAATTGT